GGAGGGGAGTGAGGGGACCCTGCAGGGCCCCCAGGCAGCTTTGGGTGGGGAGGGAGGGAGGGCGACCAACATGGGCTGGGGGGGGAGCACAGTGAGGGGCCTTTCATTTTAATCATGGATTTGGCGGGGGGGTTATCAGAGAATTTGCAAATTTTTTATTATGGGAAACCAGGACCGCTGGTTATGAAAGAAGATTAAAGCAGCTGAAACAAGTTTATAGGAGGAATACAGAGAGGGGCTCTGGCTCTCCACTTAGAGGGTGTGATATGTGGAGTCATGCTTGCTGTCCCTAGGTTGCAGAGAGGTGATGGGTGTTTGGTTTAGCCCTATCATATTTCCAGGTTTTGCTGGTTGTCACATGGGCCAGAGAATTAATTTTGTCCCCTTCTGTTGCTACAGGTTGGGTGCAGAGGGGTTGTCTTTCTCAGAAGCATTGAGTGTGGACCATAGTGTGAGGATTTTGGCTGTAGTGTGCCAGTTCCTGGGTAGAGGTTCTTGCCAAAGGTCAAACCAGTCATCATATTTGAGATCAGTAAGGAATTTTACCCAATGGTCAAATTGGTATGGATTTGTAGGCTGGATCCAGACATGCAGGCACTTGTGGTTTCTGGCACTGCAACATCTTTGCTGGGTCTTACCTACACACACACAGATTTCACTCAAAAGGAGCAGCATAGAAGCAACAATTTCACTGTAATTGATTCCATAGAAATGTGTCTAAATACACAGATGGGTCCTACTTTCTGTGTCATTGCTTCTAAAAAGTAAGCATGCAGCATTATCAGCAGACATCCTATGATCTTCTGTACTTCTGCCATGCACTGTGGGATTGTTCCCATGGGTTGTGCTGGAATTAGTATGAGAAAGTAGTTGGAAGTCTCTGCATTCCAAATCTCGAGTCAGTTGCTAAAATTCCCATCATTCTACTTTCTCTATTACAAGAGCTGCCTCTTTTCTGGTAGTTAGTGCCACTTCCAAGCATTTTCCTTCCCCTTGAATATGCGCTGGTTTATACATATGTGTACAGCATGCTGCTATCAGCTAAGTGCTGCTTTGCAAACCCACAGCTTAACTAACAAGCAGTTCTACAGGACTTTGTGGTAGGCCACAGCAGTTACAGTTTCTGTTACAGGTTTCCTTCCCTGATGGCACCTGAAGAAACAAAGCAGCAGAAAAAAATAGATGAGAATACTGATGCTGAAGAGGTGGTTCATGTGATCAAGAAAATGGTACAGGAAAGTTTTAAAATAGCATCATTCTGTGACATGCAGCTTCTAGGCCTGAGAAACAAGCACAAACTGCAAACTGTCAGCAGTAGCTGTGAACTTCAGGATAACAAATGGGATCTTCCTAGAGAGGTCAATGGAATATGCCACCAGAGTTGTAGAGGCAGCACTCCAGTATGAAAACTATCTTGTTCCTTCAAAAGCCCATGGCCGTCCCCACCTGTAAATTCACCCTCTACCCCTAATTATGCACAGGCATTTAAAAAAGGTACTGTCACCACATGCTATAACACTTAAAGAGATTTCTGGTGGTTTGCATGCATAAGGCTACCTAGCTGCATGGGTATGATTAATAGAACGCATACAGGCAACCCCTGCCGGTTCCAAGCCTCAGACTTCATAAACAGAAAGGATTAATTCTCTGTTGTGCTCAGGGGCCTAGATGACTATTCTGCCAGGTTCCTGTAAAAAATGTGGGTTGCTTTGAAAAAGTTCATGATGCTAGAATTTTGGGGACCTTTAACCTGTTTCCCATAATGAAAAAAGTGGGGAGTAGCTGTAATGATGAATACCATTGTTGTGAATGGTGTAAGCATCCCTCTTATCTTTGGGGACCTCGCACCCTTCTACTAATGAAGCCTTTCCTTGGACATCTGAATTGCAGAAAAAACACAATTTAGTCACAGCCTGGGCAGCCCCAAGGTAAGAGTGAAGTGGGTCTCTGGGAGACTGAAAGGTAGATGCTGGAAGTTTAGTGGCAGGCTTGAGGCAGCCAAGTTATGCCTGCTCACATGATAATGGCATGCAGGGTCCTGCAGAACAGCTGTGAAAACAGGGGAGAGAACCTTGCCAAAGGGTGGGAGGCCGACATTTACCGAGTGTCAGGATGCTTTGAGGAACCTATGCAGTCCTTAATGACAACCATAAAAGACACCTAATCAGGGGTGCTTTGTGTGTCTGCTCCAGGGGAAAGGGCCTAAAGATTTGATATGGTGTTTTTGGGTTTCTGGCCACAGCCTGTTGTTTTTGCCACTTTACTTTTTCAGTAGAATACTGCATAACAATTACTATTGTCTGTGATGGACCTGCGGAGTTTGCTTTGCAGGCTTTGTGTGTTTCCTAGATTTTAAACATTGCACATTTCATAGAATTATAGAAACATAAAAGTAGGGTCGGAAGGGACCTTGTAGATCTTCAAGTCCGACCCCCCGCCTGGGCGGGAGAAAAGACTGGACTCAAATGAGTCCAGCCAGGTAGGCATCAAGCCTCTTCTTAAAGATCCCCAGCGTAGGAGCCAGCACCACTTCCCT